CATCTCTGTATGCAACACAGGTAAGTGCGACATAAATGCTGGCCATCCCTGTATGCAACACAGTAAGTGTGACATAAATGCTGGCCATCCCTGTATGCAACACAGGTAAGAGCGACATAAATGCTGGCCATCCCTGTATGCAACACAGGTAATGCGACATAAATGCTGGCCATCCCTGTATGCAACACAGGTAAGTGTGACATAAATGCTGGCCATCCCTGTATTCAACACAGGTAAGAGCGACATAAATGCTGGCCATCCCTGTATACAACACAGGTAAGTGTGACATAAATGCTGGCCATCCCTGTATTCAACACAGGTAAGTTACACTCTTAGCTGCCATGCCATTGCCCAAAACACCATCTACAGTTTCCAATACTAATCTGTGCACTTCTCTTGTCATTTCCCCAGTTGTTTTGACGTGCAACTGCAGATCGTTTAACATATACAACACTCAGGTATCATATCAGATTTTTCTTGAGTGTACCATAATCACAATCTTCCGATAATCTGTACAATTTTTGTATGAATGCATCAGGTGACTCGCCATGCATTTGAACACGTTTACTAAACCTTTATATTTCGACATACATTATAGTGATCATTCAGAGCTCTGATGACATCATCATACATGTAAGTGTTGTTAGGATGTCGTCGTCGGCGCAGTCGCCAATGGTGTTTAATACCGTACTGACATGTTTCCTTGTTGACGTGTTGTACAGCCCTGGCGTCTTTCAAATTGTTTGTTTTACTTGTGCCATAATTCCGCATATTTTGACCCTGTCGATCCATCATACCTTTTCTGGTAAAGAAAAGGTTTGATGGATCGAGGTATTTCTTGAGGTGGGTCTGTCATTTTGTGGATATGACGCCGCTGCCCCTATGTACTATATGGCAACAGACTAGATAGAGACGCGGACAGAAACGAGGTCGAACGTATTGTAGCTTTAACCAAGATTGTGATGATATGCTACATGTATTGTATTAAATAATTATTATACTACACTGTGCACGGCGCTTTCTGAGTGAATACGAATTGCTAGTGTTTGTTATGTCTTCTCGGTCAAGGAGCTATAATGGGGGTCTCAATAAAATTTGCAATAGTGAACAAAATTTCCTAAATTGAACTATATGATGAAGCACATATACGTACCTGCAACGAAAGTTTCCAAAATGTCGCTCGTCTTTACTTTTATCTCGTGTTCGGTGGTGACGTCATGCACTGTGATATAAATTGTTGAATAATCGAAAGCGAAATCGAATACAGATCCTAAATATTTGAGTTGCCTGTAATTGACCGTAGTTGTATCTGGCGGCAGTTGCGGCGCGAAGTCTAAACGGTCAGTATGGAGCCTAAAACCACCGTAACCGAAAAGAACCGCCTGTAGAAATCCACCCATGCCGGTGATGAAATTGACAGCCCCAATTCCTGATTGCGCTTCCGTCCATATCTGTGAAAAGGAAAACAGTTATCACAGTTGTCGTATTAACGTATGTGCGATTCGCAATCTCCTCATAGATACGTACTGAATGCAAACGCCCTCTGTTACGAACAGAGCAAATCACGACACACAACATTCGATGCTGCTAAAAATTTTCCAAGGGAGCAGCTACTAGTCAAGTATCTCACATTCTAGTTACCGTTTAAACCACAGACCACGGACATATTCAATATTTTTTTTAATGTTTACTATCACAGAAACAGAAGAAATGTTGAATCAGAATCTGGCTGTGTGCAAATTAATATTTTGACGTCAGCGCCCTCATATAATTCTGTCAAATTTCGTAAAAACAAAGAAGTATAAAAATGAGGTCATCCAGGATCAACTGACAGGATCTGTCAAATAAAAACATTTTTGTTCTATGTTAATGTATTTGGTAGCAAAAAAAAATTAATTTGATATTTTGATATGTGTCACTCAAATTGTATTTCAATTTAGTGTGCTTAATGTTATACAAATAGTCTTGATTTAAAAACTATGACATTCAACAACTGTTGTATTTAAATGAACTGAGAAAATTAAGTGGTTGTTCTTTTTATTGGAATTGATTGTGACATGTTTTGAAATATTTAATGAGCTTATTTTGTAAGCCGCCTGAATTTTTGAAGTGACATCGCTTTAAGATTGTTCAACATACGGCAATCTGTACCATGGACCTAACCTCTGCGAGGTACCATGGACACCCGTGCCATCAATCTGACCTTCAGCGGTACCATAACCTGACCGCCTCCTTCATGAACCTGACCGCCGCGACCAAAATATTTGATATCGACATATTCTATAATTAGACTGTAATTAATCAATGTCCTCATCTGACCTTGAACAAAAACTGCAAGATAGATAAAAGAACCTCAGATGTGTTTACCGATAAAAAACAAACAAATAAAGTCTTATCGGATATTCGTCCACTGCCTACCTTAGATGGCCCCTCGGCGTATAAAGGACTGTAGCACCGCCTACCTTGAATGGCCCCTCCATGTAAGGACTGTAACACCGCCTACCTAGAATGACTCCTTGGCGTAAGGACTGTAATACCGCCTACCTTGAATGGCTCCTTGGCGTAAGGAATGTAATACCGCCTACCTTGGATGACTCCTTGGCGTAAGGAATGTAATACCGCCTACCTTGGATGACTCCTTGGCGTAAGGAATGTAATACCGCCTACCATGAATGAGTCCTTGGCGTAAGGAATGTAATACCGCCTACCTTCAATGGCTCCATGATGTAAGGACTGTAACACCACCAACGTTGAATGACTCCTTGATGTAAGGACTGTAACACCGCCTAACTTGAATGACTCCTTGATGTAAGGACTGTAATACCGCCTACATTGAATGACTCCTTGATGTAAGGACTGTAACACCGCCTACCTTGAATGACTCCTTGATGTAAGGACTGTAATACCGCCTACCTTGAATGGCTCCTTGATGTAAGGACTGTAACACCGCCTACCTTGAATGACTCCTTGATGTAAGGACTGTAATACCGCCTACCTAGAATGACTCCTTGATGTAAGGACTGTAACACCGCCTACCTTGAATGACTCCTTGGCGTAAGAACTGAAACACAGCCTACCTTGAATGCCTCCTTGATGTAAGGACTGTAACGCCACCTACCTTGAATGACTCCTTGATGTAAGGACTGTAATACCGCCTACCTTGAATGGCTCCTTGATGTAAGGAATGTAATACCGCCTACCTTGGATGACTCCTTGGCGTAAGGAATGTAATACCGCCTACCTTGGATGACTCCTTGGCGTAAGGAATGTAATACCGCCTACCATGAATGAGTCCTTGGCGTAAGGAATGTAATACCGCCTACCTTCAATGGCTCCATGATGTAAGGACTGTAACACCACCTACGTTGAATGACTCCTTGATGTAAGGACTGTAACACCGCCTAACTTGAATGACTCCTTGATGTAAGGACTGTAATACCGCCTACCTTGAATGACTCCTTGATGTAAGGACTGTAACACTGCCTACCTTGAATGACTCCTTGATGTAAGGACTGTAATACCGCCTACCTTGAATGGCTCCTTGATGTAATGACTGTAACACTGCCTACCTTGAATGGCTCCTTGATGTAAGGACTGTAACGCCAAATACCTTGAATGGCTCCTTGATGTAATGACTGTAATACCACCTACCTTGAATGACTCCTTGGCGTAAGAACTGTAACACTGCCTACCTTGAATGGCTCCTTGATGTAATGACTGTAATACCGCCTACCTTGAATGGCTCCTTGATATAATGACTGTAACACCGCCTACCTTGAATGGCTCCTTGATGTAATGACTGTAATGCCACCTACCTTGAATGACTCCTTGGCGTAAGAACTGTAACACTGCCTACCTTGAATGGCTCCTTGATGTAATGACTGTAATACCGCCTACCTTGAATGGCTCCTTGATATAATGACTGTAACACTGCCTACCTTGAATGGCTCCTTGATGTAAAGACTGTAACACCGCCTACCTTGAATGACTCCTTGATGTAATGACTGTAACATCGCCTACCTTGAATGACTCCTTGATGTAGGGACTGTAACACCGCCTACCTTGGATGACTCCTTGGCATAAGGACTGTAACACCGCCTACCTTCAATGGCTCCTTGATGTAAGGACTGTAACACCGCCTACCTTGAATGGCTCCTTGATATAGGACTGTAATACCACCTACCTTGAATGACTCCTTGGCGTAAGAACTGTAATACCACCTACCTTGAATGGCTCCTTGATGTAATGACTGTAACACCGCCTACCTTGAATGGCTCCTTGATGTAAGAACTGTAACGCCACCTACCTTGAATGGCTCCTTGATGTAATGACTGTAATACCACCTACCTTGAATGACTCCTTGGCGTAAGAACTGTAACACCGCCTACCTTGAATGGCTCCTTGATGTAATGACTGTAATACCGCCTACCTTGAACGGCTCCTTGATATAATGACTGTAACACCGCCTACCTTGAATGGCTCCTTGATGTAAGGACTGTAACGCCACCGACCTTGAATGAGTCCTTGGCGTAAGGACTGTAATATCGCCTACCTTGAATGGTTCCTTGATGTAAGGACTGTAACACCGCCTACCCTGAATGGCTCCTTGATGTAAGGACTGTAATATCGCCTACCTTGAATGGTTCCTTGATGTAAGGACTGTAACACCGCCTAACTTGAATGACTCCTTGATGTAATGACTGTAACATCGCCTACCTTGAATGACTCCTTGATGTAAGGACTGTAACACCGCCTACCTTGGATAACTATTTGGCATAAGGACTGTAACACCACCTACCTTGAATGGCTCCTTGATGTAAGGACTGTAACACCGCCTACCTTGAATGGCTCCTTGATGTAAGGACTGTAACACCGCCTACCTTGAATGGCTCCTTGATGTAAGGACTGTAACACCACCTACCTTGAATGGCTCCTTGATGTAAGGACTGTAACACCGCCTACCTTGAATGACTCCTTGATGTAAGGACTGTAACACCGCCTACCTTGAATGGCTCCTTGATGTAAGGACTGTAACACCGCCTACCTTGAATGACTCCTTGATGTAAGGACAGTAACACCGCCTACCTTGAATGGCTCCTTGATGTAAGGACTGTAACACCGCCTACCTAGAATGACTCCTTGATGTAAGGACTGTAAAACCACCGACCTTGAATGAGTCCTTAGCGTAAGGACTGTAATACCGCCTACCTTGAATGGCTCCATGATGTAAGGACTGTAACACCGCCTACCTTGAATGACTTCTTGATGAAATGACTGTAACATCGCCTACCTAGAATGACTCCTTGATGTAAGGACTGTAACACCGCCTACCTTGAATGACTTCTTGATGTAATGACTGTAACATCGCCTACCTAGAATGACTCCTTGATGTAAAGACTGTAACACTGCCTACCTTGAATAGCTCCTTGATGTAAGGACTGTAATATCGCCTACCTTAAATGGTTCCTTGATGTAATGACTGTAACACCGCCTACCTTGTATGACTCCTTGATGTAAGGCCTGTAACACCGCCTACCTTGAATGACTCCTTGATGTAAGGACTGTAACACCGCCTAACTTGAATGACTCCTTGATGTAAGGACTGTAACACCGCCTACCTTGAATGACTCCATGATATAAGGACTGTAACACCACCTACCTCGAATGACTCCTTGATGTAAGGACTGTAACACCACCTATATTGATTGGCTCCTTGATGTAAGGACTGTAACACTACCTTCCTTGAATGGCTCCTTGATGTAAGGACTGTAACACCGCCTATCTTGAATGGCTCCTTGGCGTAAGGACTGTAACGCCACCTACCTTGAATGAGTCCTTGGCGTAAGGACTGTAACGCCACCTACCTTGAATGACTCCTTGATGTGAGGAATGTAACACCGCCTAACTTGAATGGCTCCTTGATGTAAGGACTGTAACACCGCCTACCTTGAATGGCTTCTTGGCGTAAGGACTGTAACGCCACCTACCTTGAATGAGTCCTTGGCGTAAGGACTGTAACGCCACCTACCTTGAATGACTCCTTGATGTAAGGAATGTAACACCTCCCAACTTGAATGATTCCTTGATGTAAGGGCTGTAACACCACCTACATTGAATGGCTCCTTGATGTAAGGGCTGTAACACCACCTATATTGAATGGTTCCTTGATGTAATGACTGTAACACCACCTACCTTGAATGACTCATCGATGTAAGGACTGTAATACCGCCTACCTTGAATGGCTCCTTGATGTAAGGACTGTAACACCGCCTACCTTGAATGACTCCTTGATGTAAGGACTGTAACACCGCCTACCTTGAATGACTCCTCGATGTAAGGACTGTAACACCGCCTACCTTGAATGGCTCCTTGATGTAAGGACTGTAACACCGCCTACCTTGAATGACTCCTTGATGTAAGGACAGTAACACAGCCTACCTTGAATGACTCCTTGATGTAAGGACTGTAATATCGCCTACTTTGAATAGCTCCTTGATGTAAGGACTGTAATATCGCCTACCTTGAATGACTCCTTGATGTAAGGACTGTAACACAGCCTACCTTGAATGACTCCTTGATGTAAGGACTGTAACACCGCCTACCTTGAATGACTCCTCGATGTAAGGACTGTAACACCGCCTACCTTGAATGGCTCCTTGATGTAAGGACTGTAACACCGCCTACCTTGAATGACTCCTTGATGTAAGGACAGTAACACCGCCTACGTTGAATGGCTCCTTGATGTAAGGACTGTAACACCGCCTACCTTGAATGACTCCATGATATAAGGACTGTAACACCGCCTACCTTGAATGACTCCTTGATGTAAGAACAGTAACACCGCCTACGTTGAATGGCTCCTTGATGTAAGGACTGTAACACCACCTATCTCGAATGACTCCTTGATGTAAGGACTGTAACACCACCTATCTCGAATGACTCCTTGATGTAAGGACTGTAACACCACTTATATTGAATGGCTCCTTGATGTAAGGACTGTAATATCGCCTACCTTCAATGGCTCCTTGATGTAAGGACTGTAACACCGCCTACCTTGAATGGCTCCTTGGCGTAAGGACTGTAACGCCACCTACCTTGAATGAGTCCTTGGCGTAAGGACTGTAACGCCACCTACCTTGAATGACTCCTTGATGTAAGGACTGTAACACCACCTATCTCGAATGACTCCTTGATGTAAGGACTGTAACACCACCTATCTCGAATGACTCCTTGATGTAAGGACTGTAACACCACTTATATTGAATGGCTCCTTGATGTAAGGACTGTAATATCGCCTACCTTCAATGGCTCCTTGATGTAAGGACTGTAACACCGCCTACCTTGAATAGCTCCTTGGCGTAAGGACTGTAACGCCACCTACCTTGAATGACTCCTTGATGTAAGGAATGTAACACCGCCTAACTTGAATGGCTCCTTGATGTAAGACTGTAACACCGCCTACCTTGAATGGCTCCTTGGCGTAAGACTGTAACGCCACCTACCTTGAATGAGTCCTTGGCGTAAGACTGTAACGCC